ACTTGGGGGAAGGTTCAGGTGAGAGAGAGAGAGAGTTAAAGTTGCCAAAACCATGAACAGAACCGGCAGACTACAGAGAATTTGGCTGAGGAACTGAGGCTTGGCTTTACTTAGGGTTGACTGGCACTGGAAACTGAGGCAGACAGCTGAGATATTGTTGGGGTGTGGGGCAGATAAGTGGTGGTAAGGAGGAGACAGCTAGGAAAGAAACAGTAGCAGTGACGGTTAGCCCCTGCTTTCTTGGAGCTGTGGGGCAGTGAACCACTGATGCTCATCCCCTCTTTTCCCATCCTGATGAATTTTAAGGGGTTAGTGGCAGAAGGGGGAAGGGGAAGAACAAACAGAAGTAGCCTGTGGAGCTGTTTGAAAGCAAGGACTCTAGCAGCCCCTGCCCTGGGAACTTCAGATCGCATGCAGAGCTCCACTGACATGCTGGTGATCTCTGAGAGCTCACTGCCATCCAGGAACTGGATGGCACAGATGCTGTGTGGCACAGGTGCAAAAAGTGCTCTTCACTGTGTGTCCCAACCAAAGGATTGTGGCTGCACCCCTGTTGCATCAATCCTGTATCTGCCCATGGATGAGCCCTTACAGTTTATACTATCAAGTTTCTTCTCCAACCAGGAGGGCAGTCGGCTGAGCTGAGTGCCAAATGTTCCAAGTGCCTGGAGAAACTTCAATGAAGATAATGGTTCAAAACCTCTCATTTGCCACTGTGAACAGTAAACCACAAGGTTTGGATCTAAAAGTGTGAGCCCCTTCTGAAGACCCAGAAGTGGTGGCACAATTGCATGCTTCTTGAAATGAATAGGTTTTTGGCTGGCAAGAAATAGCCACACTACAGAAGCATTCATGAGAGGCAGAGGTGGTTGGAAATGGGTGGTTGTGTCTACTCAGAAAACTACTTTTCCATGAAAATCAGTTTCATCCTGTAATCACACTGGCGAAATGCTTTAATTGAAAGAGTCTTCAACTGCTATTACGGCTACTTGAAAAAGGTGGGTACAGCTCTGGTCTTGGCCAATAGCTGTCGTATTCTCTTGTGTGTGGCAAGAGGTGCAGGTGACCGGAGGGGAAGAGGGCTATATTGTCTTCCATTTTTTGTGCCTAAATGGGCACTATTGTCTAACTCCAGGTTTGGCACTTGTGGATCATTTGTAACTCAGTTTCCCCCATGGCAAAATAAATTCATCCTACTCAGTATCTGCTTGCAGTAGTGCTCCTCTCCACCTTCTCTGTTTTAAGTGCTGACTTGGAGGGAGGGTGGAAAAAGGGCAGCTGCCCCTGCAACTACACAGCCATGCTGGAGACACCAGTAGGCACAGGTTGTTGCTGACCCAGTGTGTCATTGTTGTTAACCCTGGCACCACCCAGGGTTACTAGAAATAATGGCCACAAATTGTTAGAGAGAAGGTTCAGGCTGGACATCAGGAGACATTACTTTACAGTCAGAGCTGCCAGGCTCTGGAATGGGCTCCCAAGTGAGGTGGTGCTGTCTCCTACCTTGGGAGTCTTCAAGAGGAGGCTGGACAGACATTTGGCTGGGGTGATATGACAGCAGCACCCGTTCCTGCCCCAGGTAGGGTTCAGACCTGATGATCTGTTTAGGTCCCTTCCAACCCTAAGCATTATGAAACTATGAGTCCAGGAGAGACCCAGTGTGGGAACTGTCAGGATTAAAGCTCACACTAAGGCCTGTGGCAGCCTCTCTTACTCACCTTTCCATAAGAGCAAGGTCTGGTGGGTGAGCAATAGAGGGAGGGCGATATTAGAATCAGAGCCATGCAGGAGTTGCATGGCCAGGTGGGGACATCATGGCTACCCCTGTGGCTACAAGCTTGCTGCAAGGCACCTCTAGGGGTACAAGTGAAAGCACTGACCCATAAGGTATATGATATGGGAAAAATTATCTCACAGGTATTATCCCCAAGGCCAAAATGGTTTGATGTGAGAGAGCATGTGAAAGTGGGCAAGGGGCCAGGAGGGTTAAACCCCCCAGACCCAAGCCAATGTGGGGAATCCAGCTAGGTCTGTGTTCCCTGAAATCTTCTGAAATTTGTACTTGGGTCCCTTGGGAAGATGAAAAACAAGAGATTAATCCAGCTGTTCCTATTGTATGGGTGCTTGACTGGTCAGACTCAGAGCCTGAGAAAGGGAACAAATGGGTTCTTAAAAGCATGCTGTATTGAAACCACTTCATTATGTTCCAGTTGAGCACATGGCACCATTTGTCAACCTGCTCAGCTTGTGCCGAATGAATCAGCAGGTGCGTGCTCTAATCAGAAATGATCATGTGTCACAATGAGTTTTTTATGTATCATGTGTCACAATGAGTATTTTATGTAGGGAAAGATTGAATGTGTTTTCATTTGTTCAATCAACAAGGTGTTGAATATTTAACAGAGACAAAAAGCAGAGATTGAGAGTGTAAAAGTTGGTATCTGGAGCGGTATTGCATTCATTGAAAGCCTAACAGTTGATGGGCAGGTCCACAAGGTTTCAGTCATAGGAATCATGAATCATGACCATTTCCATCAATTTGTCTATTAACTTAGAGCAAATCAAGTTACGCATTGGTCAAGATAGTCCAATGTTCTTTGAAAAATTCACCACTATATGAAGGTTAATCACATGCTGAGTAAATAAACTGTGCGTGCGTGCGCAGGGGGGGTTTAGCTCTGATAGCCTTGACCTTCACTTCCTGTGTCTTTTCCGACTCTTGCCTGCCACATCTTGATGACTGTAGATGTTATTAGTCGGGAGGTAGTATCTACTGCAGTAGGCTACCAGCAAACCCTAACCCCTTTTATCTGAGGTCCCACCTTTTCGTTGCCTCCTTTAATGATACAAATGATTTTGTGCAACAGTCAAACCACACTCTGTCATAAGTAAGTAACTCCTTTTATTGTCCTTTGACTGTTGTTACACTCTTAACCATTACAACCCCCCCACTTTTTTTTTTTTATTTTTAGAAATGACTTTGAAGTATTCTTATCTTCTTTGATGCCCTGATCAGTCTGTCTATCTTTCAAAGTAAAACCAGGGATTGCCTCGAAATTTCCTCCCTTAACTTTCAGGTAAGTAAAATATTTTTTCTCCCCTTTTTTTTTTTTTGTCTGCAAGCTCTCACTGGGGATAGTCAACAACTAAAAATCCAAAATCAAAGGTAAGGTTTCTTTATGTTTTCGTCGGACTCCTCTCTCTCCTCTCTCGCTGTCTTATAATTTATTTTTCAGGGGATCTGCTCCTGTCCCTGCTTCTTGTGGCTTCTCTGCTTCCCTTCTTGGATGATCCTTCCCTTGCTCGGGATACACTTGCCACCTTTCTTCATCCAGCCCTCTCTCCCTCACTGGACCGACATCCCAGCTTGCCTTGTCCCTGCGGTCTTCTCCTCCTTCACCCTCCTTGAGGAGTCTCCGCTCCTTCCTGCTGCGCGGCTCTCTCCCACGGCTCCTTTATAAGCAGGGAGCAGCTGCTTTTAAAACGCCGCTCTCCCGGCTTGATTGATTTCTCCCTGCTGGCGTCGTCCTGTGCCAGTATTCCTCCACATAAACAAAACCACATTGAGTTGATTGGTAAGCATTTAAATGAAGAGGTCAAAAAAATGTATGGCTAAATACCAAATCAACGCTGAATGAAGCTGGTGGGAGCCTGTGTTTGGATGGTCACCTTTTGTCCTTGGCATGTTTAATTCGATGCTGTACCCTATCATTCCATTTTTTTCAATACAGATATTACTTTTTACCCACTATTTGCATTGTGCTGTTGTGTAGAAAGGTTGTACAATTAACCACACTAGAAAAGTGTGCATGACAGACAGAGCTGCTTAGAATTTGGTGGATGTGTCTACTCAAAACACTGATTTGTCCATCAAAATCATTTTCAGTGCAAGGATTTAGCCAATGTGATCAATGGGATGGAAGAGTCCCCAACTGCCACTATGGTCCTGGCTCGTAGAGGTGTTATTTCTTCCATGGAAAGAGGTGTGGGTGTCCTGAAGAAGAGAGGGTAATTCATCTTGCGGTTTTTGTGTCTAAATGGGCACTATTGCTGTCCTACAGGTTTGGGTACCTATGGGCAGTTTGTAAGTCTGTTTCCCCCTCTGGCAAAATAAATTACCTGTACCTGCTGGCAGTAAAGCAGAGGATGCAGAGAGCATCCCTAGGTGCTGACATGGAAGGAAGGTGGAAAAAGAACAGCTGCTTCTGCAGCTACACAACTAGATTGGAGGCACCTTCAGCCATAAGTCCCTGCTTTCCCCATGTGTCATAGCTTCCTTGGGTACCCAGATGCCCTGTTTGCCTCTGAGCTCAGGTTTCCTCCAGTTACTAATTCTTGACTAAAGGACACAACTTGTTTGGTAGCAGCAGTTAGTTTCCATTGAGAACTGAGCAACTACCTCGCATGGTGAAAACCTGAAAATACCAAGAGTTAAAATGCTCTTCCTTGACATAACATAGTAATTGGAATCAATGGTAAACCTGTAGTTGATGGCAAGGATGAATGTTTTTCCTATCCTTTTTTAAGCCCTATATGAAATAGCAGTTGTTTAGCTCTGGAGTCTTCCATTAACAGGACACGGCCATACATGCAGACACCAGCAGGGAAGGGGAAATACAATTAGATTCTAGAATCTACATCAGCGTTGTCTTGTGATGATTTTAGTTGTAAAATTTGTGCTTAGAAAGCAAATGTTCTTTAAGCTCAAGGAAGACTGTATCCACAGTTTGGGGAGAGACACTTTAAAAAAGAAAGGATTTAAAAATATAAATGTAATATATGGGGAAAGGTAGAGAATTTACTGGCCTTAAAATATGACTTACTATAATAACACACCATATTAGGAGAAGCCTAAAAACACAGGTAGATATGAATATAGAGGGAGAGTTGGGTGGTAATGAAAATTATGCAGAGAGATGTACAGATGCATACAAATATTTATTTATTTTCTGACTTCATTGCTCGTGAGTGTAGTTTAGCTGTGCATTCACAGAAGAGGATTATTCTGAAGTAATTTTCCTACCTATGATTGTCCTCAAAGCTTTTTTCACATCCTTGTTCCTGAGGCTGTAGATGTAGGGATTCAACATGGGGATGACAAGGGTATAAAACAGAGACACAATCTTGCTCTGATGTGGGGAAGATAGTGAGCCTGGCTGGGCATACATAAAGGAAACGGTCTCAAAAAATAAAACCACAACCAGCATGTGGGAGGAGCAGGTGGAGAAGGTCCTGAGCCTGCCCTTAGCAGAGCGAATCCTGAGAATAGTATAGATGATGTAGGCGTAGGAGATGAGAGTGATTCCTGAAGTGATCACTATGATGAGGCCAGCTAAAATGAACATTACCAGTTCGTTGATGTGCTTATCCATGGTGCAGGACAGGTTTATCAAGCGGGGAACGTCGCAGAAGAAATGGTTGATCTCTTGAGGCCCGCAGTAACTCAGTGTAAAGGTGAAAATGGTTTGCACTATAGAAGTTGTGACACCACCGATATAGGAGCCCATGATGAGCTGGATGCAAACCCATTTGGACATGATGACAGGATAAAGAAGTGGGTTGCAGATGGCTATGTATCGATCATATGCCATTGCTGCCAGGATGAAGGCTTCTGTGGTGACAAAGAGAAGAAAAAAGAAGAACTGTGCAGCACATCCATTGTAAGAAATAGTTTTGCTGCCTTGTAGGAAGGTGGCCATGGCTTTGGGGGCAATGGTTGAGGAGTAGCAGAGGTCTAAGAGAGAGAGGTTTATGAGGAAGAAATACATGGGGGTGTGAAGGCGAGGGTCAGTTCGAATGATGAGAACCATGATAGTGTTCCCGAACACAGTTGCCATGTAAATCAGAAGGAATACTACAAAGGGCAGCACCTGAATCCCAGCTCTGCTTGCAAATCCCATCAGGATGAATTCTGTCACCACTGTGTGGTTCTCTTCTCCTGTAGTCTGCATAGCTTGTCTCTCCTCTGGGGAAAAAAAAACAAAAAACAAACATTACCCCAGTATAAGTATGAAGGAGAAAGCAAGTGGTAAGATAGATTGCAGAATGCTTAATATATCTTGCACTAGGGTCTTGATGAAGACTGGCCCATTAAACTCACTTTCCCATCTTCCTTTCTTACATTCACAGAGGCTTGCACAATATGCCTAGACATTTTGTTTTTGGAATCCTTCAGTTTCTTTTTTAACAGAATATTGGGTCTATGATGAAATAAATAGTTTTACGTACATTTCTGGCTTTCCACAGCTTTGGTAATAGATACCTACTTAAATAAATGCATAAACCTTGAACAGAACCAGAAAATTTAATTAAAAACATGGTATTTAGTAAAAAGACTAGGTTTTTTTTTCAGTATGATGAATTGTTTGGCTTTCAGATGTTAGCTTTTCAATGAAAACAGGAATTTTCCTTGAAAAAAAGATGACCAGCTCTATTACCAAAATTGAATAATACAAAAAAATTACCAGGTTGAGTCAGCACATACCTACCCACCAAAGCCTCTTTGTATTGAAACGAGAAGTTGAATGAGGAGTCTTGCATGTTTTGTCACCCTTTTCTCATCCACAGCACTGTCAATGACGCACTGAAAATTTTCCCAATGATTTCACTTTCATAGCCAACAGGTACCTGAAAGCAAGACTTACCCCAGCTTCGTTCCATTGAGTTACTTTTGGAGCCTTTTGAAACCACCTCAGAAGTGCTTCTTTCCATGGTTTGGCACCTTTCCATGCTACCTAATTCAAGAATTTGGGTAATAATTTTGCCTTAATATTGTTGAATGACCTGGGATCTTTACTGTCCTACAATTCTCTTCTGCCAGGCTCAAGTGCTAGGAGAGTTGCAGCTGTTATATTGAAGGGAATGGTATTAAATCTGGCTAAAAGGCAGGCGTTGTGTAAGAGGAGGGCCCTTCCTCACAACAGGCCTTGAGGTCTCTGGAGGAAAGGTGCTCTGAGATCACTCAGGACTGCAGTGAGCTTCTCCCTGGTGACAGAGATGTGTTTTCAGTCCCAGCTCTGTGGACCTGTCCAGGAGAGACCGAGGGAGGAACTAGACAGAATCCCCTGGCTTAATGCAATGAAAATTGCTATCCATTCACAGCAATCAGATAAAGCTGGCATTAAGGTCCCCATGGTGATATTATTCCCTTTTCTCCACTCTTTCTCTCTGTGCCTACCTGCCTGTATTTCTGGCGTGGCCTGACCCTGAGGCTGTGAGCTCCCTGGGACATGGACTGGAGAAGGATGTGGGGAGAACAGTGTATGTGCCAGGCTAGAACAGCATTGTGTTGGAGTGGGCTCTGGGCCATTCTTCAGCATGTCCTAGAAGTAGATGAACCAGATCTGTTCACAGCCATGTTCCTTCTTTGCTTGTTTTGGCTGTTTTCTGGCTGGCAGAGGCCCTCACCTCTTGTTTTACTCCCTTTTGCAGGGGAAAACACCAATCCCCAACTCCTCAAGGCCTGGCTCACAAGCAGGCAGTTCTGTCACTGTGCAGGTCCTGAGGCAGCCTACAGATCTTGGCTACTTTTCAGAAGAGCAGATACCTCTCACCCCAAGACAGTAAATCTTCTGTGTCCTTAGGACCTCTCATACCCAGGATGATGGTTCTGGAGGAGACAAAAGCAGGGGCAGTGAAGAAAGGGCTAAAGAAAACTGAGAGATCCTGGAGGTTTAAAGCCAGATGGGGAGTGGGCAATTTGTAGGGAGAGAAGAGCTCAGGGCTGGACAACAAAGAAAGGAGAGAGGCTTTCTGGGTGTGGTAAGAATTTAGGAGATTAGTGGGGGTGGCACTGAGGGCCCAAAAGATAGAGGATATGGGAGTCCATGAGGGGTGGTTGTACCTTAAGGGGACGATCCTCCAGGCTCAGAGTGTGACAGTCCCTGAGAGAAAGAAGTAGGGTAAGAGTGCTCTGAAACCCCCATGGCTCAGCAAAGGTATTCGAGAATGCCTGAGGGCCAAAAGGGAGGTGTACACCCGGTGGAAGGGAGGGGCTATCACCAAGGAGGAATACTCCTCCTTGGCCTGTGAGTGTAAGAGGTCTATTAGGAAGGCCAAGGCGAGAGTGGAGTTCAGGCTAGTGACCAGGATTAAAGACAACAAAAAGTCCTTCTTCAAATACATTGGGAGTAAGCAGATGGCAAGGGGTAATGTAGGGCCCCTGCTAGACTCAAATGGTAATCTTGTGGCTACGCCAAATAAGGAAGCTGAAATTTTTAACAAGTTCTTTGCCTCTGTTTTTTTGGACGGGGACCAGGACAGCTCTCCCACGACAGGTAGGGGCAATCTTGGGGATAGCACTGCCAGGCCTTGGGTCTGTGCAGAAGGAGTTAGGGATCTTCTGGAAGGGCTGGATGTTTTTAAATCTGCTGGCCCTGATACCCTCCACCCACGGGTGTTGAGAGAGCTGGTGGGGATCATTGCTGTGCCCTTGGCCCAGCTGTACGAGCGATCATGGTCCACGGACCAGGTGCCCAGAGTTTGGAAACTAGCTAATGTGGTCCCCATTTATAAGAAAGGGAGAAAGGAGGACCCAGGAAACTATAGGCCCATAAGCCTCACATCGGTCTTGGGGAAAATCCTTGAAATAATTGTCAAGGATCACATCTGTGAAGGTCCAGCAGGGGAGATCATGTCCAGAGGAAATCAACATGGGTTCATCAAAGGCAGGTCCTGCCAGACCAACCTGATGGCCTTTTATGACCAGGTAACTAAATCCTTGGATGATGGTGTCGACATGGATGTAGTCTTTCTGGCCTTTAAGAATGCCTTTGACACTGTCTCTCACCCCATTCTCATTAATAAATTGAGTGACTGTGGCATTGATGCCTACACAGTTGTATGGGTCAAAAATTGGCTGATGGGGTGCACCCAGAGAGTGGTGGTGGACAGGTCGTACTCGACCTGGCGGGATGTGAATTGTGGGATCCCCCAGGCCTCGGTCCTGGGGCCTACACTGTTCAACATCTTCATCAGCGACTTGGACGAGGGGGTGAAAAACTTGTTGTCCAAGTTTGCCGATAACACCAAGATGTGGGGAGAGGTAGGCACGCTTGAAGGGAGAGTGAGGCTGCAATTAGATTTAGACAGACTACAGAAGTGGGCAGATGGTAATAGGATGGGGTTCAATGTAGATAAATGCAGGGTGCTGTACCTGGGGAGAATGAATCCACATCATACATACAAGGAGGGAGCTCCCCAGCTTGTGAGCACAGAGGCAGAAAGGGATCTTGGAGTCATTATTGACTCCAAGATGAGCCGCCAATTGCAGACCACAGCCAGCAAAGCCAACCGCACCTTGTTGTGCATCCAAAGATGCATCTTAAGCTGGTCCAGAGAGGTGATACTCCCCCTCTACGTGACATTAGTCAGGCCACAATTGGAGTACTGCATCCAGTTCTGGGCACTGCACTTTAAGAAGGATGTGGCCAGCATTGAGAGGGTTCAGAGGAGGGCCACCCGCTTGGTTGGAGAGCAACAGGGCAGGCCGTATGAGGAGAGGTTGAGGGACCTGAACCTGTTCAGACTCAGCAAGCGGAGGCTGAGGGGGGATTTGGTGGCTGCCTACAAACTCATTAGGGGAGATTAGCAGTAAATAGGAAGGGCCCAATTCCCCACAGCAGCACCTGGGGTGATGAGGAACAATGGCCAGAAGCTGCTGGGGAATAGGTTCAGGTTAGAGATTAGGAGGCACTATTTCACTGTTAGGGTGGCTAGGATCTGGAACCAACTTCCTAGGGAAGTGGTCCTCCTACTTTGTCCAGCCTCTTTTTGAATTTACCCAAACACCTGTCTAGGGTCGTGTGATCCCAGCATGTGCTCCTGCCAGTGGCGGGTGGTCAGACTAGATGATCTGTTCAGGTCCCTTCTGACCCCAAACTACTATGAAACTATGAAGAAAGAGACCAGAGGCAGATCCTTGACTCTATCTTTGGTGCCCCCTGCCACAGCCCTGAGCACCCTCCCTGCCCAGTCACCACTCATCACCCAGGGTGACAAAAATTGCAGTTACAGCTCTGGAGCACCCAAGACAGACTAAGATGAAGTGTTGCCCATGTCTAATGAGTGAGCAGACACAGCTGGACATCCAGGCAGATGGGCTTTAGCCTGATCCAAGGCAAGGTGAAGGAATCCCATAGCCTAGGCTGGCCTAAAGTGTGTAGGAGCTGAAGGATTCTGGAGTCAGCAGGTAGTTAATAATGTTCAGGCTGAAATGGATCATGTGACAGGATGAATTGTGCCCAGACTAGAGGCCCTTCTTGGTGGGGAAAAAAGGAAAAACACTGACCCATGAACTGTATCATCTGGGATAAAATGTGCCATGGATTTCCTAGATGCACCAGAGCCAAAGCTGTTTGACGGTTAATGAGGCAGAGTTGGTGAAAATGGGACAGTAGGCAGGAGGGTTAAACCCCCAGAGCAAAGGCCATGGTGGGTAAGCCAACTAGGTCCGTGCTCCCGGACAGCTTGTGAATTTTGTACTTTGATCCCTTGGGAAGGGAAAGAACAAGAGATCGATCTGGTTTTTCCTACTTATTGGATGTGTGCTTGGCTGGTCAGAATTAGAGCCTGAGAAAGGGCATAACTGGCTTCTTCAGCAACACCCTGTTTGGAAACCAGTTCATAATTTGCCAGGTGAACATATGACACTAGTTGCCAACCTGCTTTGCCAACCTGCTCAGTTTCTTCTGGGTGTGTCAGCAGGTGTTTGCTGTATCCAGAACGTATCGTGTCACAATGAGTATTT